GTGCTCTGATACCATGTTAAGTTTAGAGGATTAACATAATATTAGAAACAAAGAGAGAGATTAAAAACTTAACCTAACTCTCATACATCACTTGTATTTATAGTTAACATATAATAATAAGAATTACACATACATCCTCTTACTATTAATAATTTACACATACTACCCTACTATTCTTAACAGTTAGGAATAAGGGAAAAATAGGTTACTGGGCTGAGAAAATTGAGGAACTGAAGACGATGATCCACTTTATGATAAGTGAGAGGCTGAGAATTCAATGGTTATGTATTAACTACTATACTCTATGCATCCAGCAATTAGCAATGGGTTTCTATGTACTACCATGGAGATTTGGAAGGCAATATCACAGTCCTACTCGAAAATGGGAAACATGGCACTGGTTTATGAGTTAAAATGTCAATTTCACAATACTAAGTAGAAGAATTCTTTTTTGGCAGCTTATTTTCATACCTTGCAAGGGGTATGGCAAGAATTGGATCACTATTAGAGACTTAACGTGTGCTAAAGATTCCTCAAAACTACAAAAGTTGATTGAACAGGAGAGGATTATTGAGTTTCTTGTTGACTTGAATTCTAAGTTTGAACAAATTAGAATTCAAATCCTAGGGAAGGAACCTTTTTTTTCCCTATGAATGGTGTATGCTTATGTTCAGTAAAAATAGAGCAGGTGAGGGATCATGCTTCATCTTATGCCCCACAAAAGTTCAGCATTGACTGCTACCACTTCTTAAGATAGCCAACTGGGAAGCAAGAAAGTTAAGAGGGGGCGTGCAAATGATGTTGTAACTGATGATAAAGACATTGTATTGTAATTATTGTCATAGGCGGAGACATAATGGAGAGACTTGATGGAAATTACATGGTCATCCTCAGTTTGGAGGTAGAGGAGGACAATCAAGTGATAGAGGAGGATCTTGAGCCCATCTTACAACTACAGTGGAGACTTCTTCACCTGGTCCTAGTCTTCCTCATCATCTGTAACAAAAACAATGGGTCTTACTGAGGAAGAAATGGAGAATATACGTTGCCTTATATTGAAGCTGGATGCACCTACCATTTCTACAACATTAAGTGCATCTTATACTATTCCTTCTTGCCCGTATATCACTGATTCAGGTGTCTCTGACCGTATGAATGGATTATCTACTTTGTTCTCATCACATACTTCTTGTTTAGGAAAACTATAGCTTAAAATAATTGATGGTTCGTTATTATTAGTAGCTAGAAAGGTCCTATTTCAATCAATTCATCTCTATATTTCTCATCTATTTAACATGTTCCTAATCTATCAAATAGTTTTTTTTTTCTGTTAGTGACATTACTAGGAAATTAAACTATAGTGTAACATTCTTTCCTTCACATTGTTTCTTTCAAGACCTTGTCATGAGGAAGAAGATTGGGGATCAGATTTGGCTACTACACTAGAGAGATTACAACATCCTATCAAAAATTATTTCCTTTTGTATTTTCTAGGGTGAAAGCCTTTTAATTTCATTATGAAGTATGTGAACTTACAAAAATACCATCGTCTGTCATTTCCTATTAGTTTCAATAAAAGTACTTCACTTTTTATCATTCTTCATACAAATGTATGGAGATGTATGGGGGCCTTGCCAAGTTGTTAGCTTGTATGGTTTCCAATGGTTTGTGATATTTATTGATGATTTTTCTCTTACCACATGAGTTTATTTACTGAAATAAAAAAATAAAGTACTGTTTACCGACATTCCACAAAATGGTACTTACTTAATTTATTACTCAAGTACAAATTGTTCGTTCCCATAATGGGGGTGAATATATTTATGCGAGACTTCGGTCCTATTTTGCTGAGCATGCTATTTTTCACCAAACAACTTGTATTGATACACTTCAACAAAATGTGGTTGCTAAGATAAAGAATCACCATCTATTAGAAGTTGCAAGGGCCTCGATGTTTCTATGAATGTTCCAAAGTCATATTAGGGAGATACTATCTTTACTTCGGTGTATCTTATTAATAGAATTCTTTGTCGAGTTCTAAACTTTCGATCACCAATTGAGGTATTATCTTCCTCTTCTTCCCCTTCTTCCCTTTCTTTCTCTATCTATTTTTCAGTTCCTCCTCAGGTGTTTGGATGGGTTTGCTTTGTTAATGTTCCTCCTTGGCTTCATCCTCCTTCGGTTAAATGATTTGTTTATATGAATGTATCCTTTTTTGAAAAGTAGCCTATTTCTTCCCAGAGACTTCTCGTCAGGGGAGAATTTGAATGAAAACAAGTTTGGTTTTGTTCCCCCATCTATCTCATCAGTGCCTTTCTTTTCATTGAAACAAGAGTTGGACAATAATGAGGAACATCAGCAACAAGAACAAAAGGAACTATGGGTTTGTTCAAGAAGACAAAAGGATAGGGTCATTTCTAATCCACTACCTTGCCAAACGGCTTCCTGGGGATCAGGTAATCCTACTCTTGAGTCTAAGTCTGATATCCTTATTGTTCTTTGCAAAGTGTTCAAACTTATATTCAACATCTCATATCTAATTTTGTATCTTTGCATCACCTCTCACCCTCTTATCAAGCTTTTGCATCGCAATTGTCCTCTGTGTTTGTTCCTAATAATTTACAAGATACACTGAATGATTAAAAGTGAAAGGAAGCAATGTGTGAGGAGATGAATACTTCAGAAAAATAATACATGGGTACTGGTTGAGTTACCTAAGGAGAAGAAGCCAATGGGGTATAAATAGGTGTTTACAATGAAACATAATGTTGATGACTTGGTTGAAAAATACAAGACTAAATTGGTCGCCAAGGGCTTTACACCAACTTATGGGATTAATTGTCAGAAAATATCTACCTCGATCGCAAAGATAAATTCCATTTGTGTCTAAATATTTACCTCGGTGGCAAAAATGAATTCTATTCGTGTCTTACTTTCCCTGGCTGCAAAACGAGGTTAGCCTCTTCAATAACTTGATGTGAAAAATGTGTTTCTAAATTAAGACCCAAAGGAAGGAAGTATATATGGATGGTACACTTGGATTTGAATTCCCCACAGATGATAGCAAGGTTCACTAGAAAATTCATTGTATAGATTAAAGTAGTCTCCAAGAGCATAGTTTGAGAGATTCACCCAAGTATGTTGCGGTATGACTATCATTAGAGTCATGGTGATCATACTTTGTTTGTTAAACATTCTTCCCACATAAAGGTGACTGCACTCATCATGAATGCTAATGATATCGTACTTACTAGCGATGATGTAAAGGAGATGGCTACATTAAAGGCATATTTCACTCAAGAATTTGAGATAAAAGATTTGAGAAGTTTAAAGTATTTCTTAAGCATTGAGGTTGTAAGATCTAAATGGGGTATATTTATTTCACAGCGAAAGTATGTGCTTGATCTACATAAGGAGACAGGTATGCTAGGGTGCAAGCCCGTTGATACTCTAATTGAGTAAAATCATAGGTTGGAGGAGAGTGTTAATGATACTCATGTAGATAAAAGTCAATACTAGAGACTAGTGGGCAATTTATGTACTCACCTTGTTTAATAAAGTTTATGTACTGACCTTGTTAGTCTCATATGGAGGTGGTTCATCGAATTTTGAGGTAGGTAAAACTAGCACTTGGTAAATGGCTATTTTTTTCAAAGCATAATCATCTACAGGTAGAAGCCTATTCAAATGTTGATTGGGCTGAATCGTTGCTAGACAGAAGATCAACATTTGGATATTGTACCTTGGTAAGCAGAAATTTGGTATCATGGCAAAGCAAAAAATGTTGGTTGTGGCCAAATCTAGTGCAGAGGTAGAATTTAGAGCTATAACTCATGGTATTTGCTAATTGTTGTGGCAGAAATTCATATTAGAGGAACTTGGTTTTTATTTTAAGGATCCAATAAGATTGTACTGCGACAATCAGCCAGCAATTTGAATTGCTCACAATAGAATGACAAAAATAAGCAAGTTGAGGTCGCCAGACATTTCATCAAGGAAAAAATGTGTACGGACTCAATTTGTACTCCATTTATGAAGACTGGGATCAGCTTGCAGGTATCTTGACAAAGGGAGTATCTAGAAAAGTGTTTCATTCAACTTGGCAATCTGGGCATGTGTGCTATCTTTGCACCAGCTTAGGGAGAGTGTTAGAAACTATTTAGTCCCTTATTTTTTATCTTCATTGTTATGAAGAGTATTTTTGTCCTTTTGATATTTGAACTAATAAATATAAGTGACAGAGAAAGAAACCCTAACTCTTTCTTTTTCAGCCGTATTTCTTTTCTTTCTTTCTTCTCTATTTCTTCCCTTTTTCTCTTTACATTAATTCAACAACAAGGCTGCATTATGGCATTAAGCTTTGAAAAAATCATAGGGACCTCCCAACAAAAGTTTGAAGGTACACTCCTCACTTGTTAAACTTGAACATTGAAAGACCTTGGCAGATGATGAATTAATTCTGTATATTGACCTATCAATTTAAATGGGGGGTTATAATATAAAGAAAAAAAACTTTTGACAGGTTGATATCCTTATTGAGGACGAACCAATATAACAAAATTCTGGGAGCAGAAATCTAAAACATGCTTTCTGTTTCCCTTACCAGGAAACAACTGATTAAGGATGCCAATATCACTTTAGAAAATGCAAAGGCTGTCCATGTATTCAGGATAACCTACATGGAATGTGGCTGAAATTTTACCAAATGGAAATAATAAACAAACCCCTTCAAATTCCTAAGTGATTTGTCAAAAGCATAATAGGGGTAAATATCTCTTTATCTTCTTTTCTTTTTTCCACCTGCTTTAGGTGTGTGGTTGGGGGATAAGCTGATGCAAGTATCTCACTTGAACCATAAAACCAGCATAGATTCAACAATTATACCGAGTATACAACCCAACTAATAAGTGGAAAGTCAATAAGATGTCATTTAGGATGCCAACTTCTTGGCAGAAGATGGTACTTGTTGGCAATTTATCCACAAAAAAGCCATGTTTTTCTTACCTAACGTGAAATGTGTGAACATATCACATGCAAGGCAAATAATATTAAGGGAATATATTGAAACAAAGTAACCATGACCAAACATAAGGACTGAAAACATACTTAATAGTGTAAGCAGAAGATGAACAAATTCAAAAACAAAACAGCAACTTTCAAATGCATACCTCGCCATCTTCATTGCATCTTTACGATGGATAAAGTAAATATCATCCTCTTCCCACTCGGGCTCAACAGGTACAAATCGTAAGTTACCCAAATCCGCCTTCATCACCGCATTGGTAGGAAGCATGTTTTGAGAAGATGAATGGTCTGCTATTAGTTTTTTTCTGTTGTTATTGAGACAGTCCTTAACAACATATCTCAGTTCTTCAGGGTTTGTCGCCTCTTCTGAAAATACATATTTAGTTCCTGGCAATGGAATATTGTCTAAAGGGGTCTCCTCATCATTAGATTTCATATTTGCAATGTCTGTTTCCCCATTCTCTGCAGAGAAAACCATTGCTTCCAATAGAGTTGAGGTCTTGTCAATATCGTTGTTCACACAAGTCATAATATCCACAAGAAAGCTATTTTCAGCCCAGGACTGAAGCTTTTTAAGCTTCTCGTGGCTTACGACTTTGCTTTCCACATTTTCCTCAAGGATCTTATTGCTCCAGTTCCCACTACAATTACCAACTTGAAGTTGTTTTTCCAAATCCTTACTAGCTATCAAGGTTGGGGAACTTCTAGAAGATATTAGCACAGATGAGAAAGACGTCACTTGATTATCATCATTCTTTAACAGGTTTTGGCAGTGCCCCAGAGAGTAAACTGTATTTGAGACAGGTGGGAAAGGTTCATTATCAACTTCAAGAAGGCCTTGCTTCTGTTTTTGCTTGAGGTCAAATGCAGCCCAACCAGGAGATTTAGCCCTCCTCAACGACATCTTTGTATGCAGAGGGCTAGCACTAACAGAATTGAACATATGCTGTCAGACAACGAAACAACATAAGCACTTATTGGAGTCTGCGTCCCTCTGCTATACGTATTTCTTGGTATATAATGTCTCTTTAGCTTGTCTTCAAGGTGCCAAAAATAAAGAAACTACTCTTCACTTGGCCAACAACAGTTTGCCCAGAGAAAAGTAAAAGACCTAAAGACAAATTTTTTCTTGATACATCGAAAACAAGAAACCAAGAGTAAAAGCATATAGGGAAAAATCAATGATATCCTGAGGCTTCTAAATAGCCCATAAGAATTGACCTTATTGAGAAATTGATGTCTTACTCCATAACTTTGAGGGAACAAGGGGAGTATGTATAAATGAGTTTGGGTTCCCATCTATGAATCACAGATGCTTCGATCAGGGTGACGTATCTGTATCCGAAACGTTCAAGACGTATCGGATATTGATATTCATCGGATACTTACATATACTTATCAAATAATTAATAAAATACTTATCGTTGTTGGATATTTGTCGGATACACGTACCTCTATGGTGAATACATTCGTCCTATCCTTAGCAAGGTGGGTTATTTAGAAACCGTGAATCACACAAATGAAAATTTCTCATTCCAATATGTTCATTTGGACATGGATTACGTATTTCACAAGATTTGTCAATTCTTTACAATTTGGTTGGCTTGAGTAATGAGTTTTTATGGCTTATGTTAAACTAATGAAGTCTATTGAAATTAATTGCTAAGTAAAGTTGAAGACTCTCGAAGGGTAACATGCCTTCAACTTTAGAATTATATAGAATTTTGAATTTAAAACACCATTAAGCATTCCTATGTCAATAACATAAATTTAGTTTGAATGTGTTTTATTTCTTAATCCCTCGTATCCCCAATATTGTAATAACATTCTAATATATACATACATACATATCTATACATATATATATTTATATATATAGACGTATCCTAACCGTACCCGTATTCTACTTTTTAGATTTTGCCGTATTGTTGTCTTTGTATCGTCTAGTACCCATATCCGTATCCATATTTGTACTCCCCAAGTTCCCATAAAACTAACCTGTTAGAACTTAAAGCAACATAGCATGATAGTACCAATCTTCTAGGGCTCAATATATGGAACTCACATAAGTAGCATAGTATTAGACCATAAATAAGCTAACACCCATTAAACATATTTTTTTGCTCTTGAGATTTATTTGTGATTTGGCTTATTAAAAGCATTGGGTTCTGCTATATAATATCTATCTTTTTCCTTATGAAAATGTAGGAAATTAAACAAAATTAGCATCCTATACTTATTTGATTAATATTGATCGAGCTATGATGGATTATAAGTAGTAAATTGTATTTGTTTTGTAATTTGGTGAGAAGATGAGTAAGGGTGTTGACTCTAGCAAAGACAAAATTGATGAGGTATTTTAAGAGGCTAATGTAGGATCCTCCTGTTAGTAGTAATGGAGTGCCCTATACCAATAATGTTATGTTTTAGACTGCATTCAAGTTTGGGAATGTCACAAACTTTCCTTTGTTAAAGTCCCTTTGTTATGCAATGATTATATATATGCCTAACCTTCACAAGAGGCATGAATTCGCTTATCTACAATTAGGGAATGAGCAGGTTGCGGAAAATGAATTCCATACTTCTAATTGCATTTTTTGAACCTATTATGATAGGCATACATATGTTCTCAGAAGGTCAAATAACCTCTATTGAATCAAAAATTTTGGCAATTCCCCTGACCATGAACTACCAAACTTCTATAATAGATCATGAGATTAAAACTGTAAGCTAATTTGTTTGGTATCCCTCTAAGTTCTCTCATGCACCATCACTGCTCTTGAATCATATACCAACTATAACAAGTTGTTAATTATAATAAGGCCCAAGTCCCTAATCAGATCAAAGGAATTTTGTTTTCTTTTAATTATGGAAAAATTAAAGGTATTTCTCAATTGATCTCATCTTTCGATAACTCTAATTTTTTGTTCCTTTAGTTATAACTTAATTATTTCCCTTTTTTGTTACCATGTTAAGAAGATCAATATCAGTCATTCCCCTTGCCCTTTTTTGTTTTCATTTGACTTTGAGTGCTGATTGTAAATAGATTGGGTCTTTGTTCATGGTCCTTTTTCAGATTAATATAAATCATATTACTTATCAAAAAAAAAAATTCTCAATTTATTTTATGCCTTGTTCCCAATATTTGATGTAGTCAACCATTGAATTGATTACCATTGTTCAATTGTGATCACTTGTCATTCAGAAAAGATTTCTTTACAAAGAGGAGTTATTTATGATATATCACAAGTAGTCATAGATTTTTCATTTTTTTTTTCAAAAGGTCCAAAACAAGGCATTTATCATTACGTGGACCTTTTTGTTTAAAAAAATTATTTTTCCTTATAGTTCTCCTTTTTTTGTTATGAACCTTATATGCCTATTTAATGAATTAATGCCACTTTTTTCACAGTAAATTTCTATGCGACTTTGATTCTTTTAATTTTATTCCATATAGAGATGTAAAAAATGATAGTTAGCATAACTTTTAAACTTTTCTTATTCAAAATGTAGGTTTTATTGTCAAATATTCTATTTATTCTCCATAAGAAGTTGAGGAAGATAATCAGACATAATATGTTGGTCAGTGTTGTGAAAAGAGAGCCTAGGCAAGAATCGAAACGAAGAGAAGTGAGCCTTGGTTGTCTTGAACATCCCAAGCAAAGTGAGGTTAAGTAAAGCAAAGCCTAGCGACGAAGCGAACCAGGGGAAAAAAGCAAACGCCTGATAATTTTTTTATTTTCTCCTCCTCCTATTCCCGTCTCCCCCCCTCTCATCCTTCTTCTTCCTTAACATTAACCAAACCCTAGCAGAGATGATGTTATATGTGTATATATATAAAATAAATTGATTGATTCATCTAACAGTGTATCATATGACAATCAGTCTTATTATAATTAAATGATGTTTAATTACCTATTTTGACATGAATGCTCTTATTAATTAATTTGTTTGGTTAATCAAATTGATTAATCAATTTGTTATATGCTCTATTTGATTAATCAATTTGTAAGTATCCTGTTTAGTGATGATATGAATCAATCACAGTAGAAGTCGAATCCACATTTGCTAGGTTTACATTTAAATGACGTGATTATGTCAATTGATTAATTTTAAAATGCAATAATATTCAATATTTAATATCTTGTCTATTTAAAATATGTTGATGTTTATTATTTTGGTTGCATTTAAAAATTTTGTATTTGTAAAGTTAAAACTTGAATATTTAGGGGTAATCAAAGTATCAAACTAAAATATGTACTTATTTTTTATATTGTTCGTTTTGCTTCGATAAAGCGCTCGCTTCACTTCTCGTTTCTCGCTTCTTGCCTAGTCCCTTAGGAGATTGGTTCGCTTCGATTCGCTTTATGCCTTAAATAATACTAATGTTGGACATTTTGGTCTATAATTTCTACAAAATATAGAGATAAACAGGTTAGTATTCTTTGACACAATCTTTCAATATTGCTTGGATGAACTTGTTGAATTGTTCAATGAAGATGTAAAAGTCATTCTCAAAATGTTGTTGTTGAAAACATTGTAAGTTTCAGCGTAAACCAATAAGTGGGCATTACAAGGAAACATGCTCAATATCAAGCAAGAGTCAAATTAGATTCTAGAAACTCATTTTTTGAATTTATTGAGTTTGGGATGCCCACCTTGGTTAGGGCTACAATGAGCTTACCATGTTAAGGATTGCGCATTTGTGTCATTCTAAAAAACTTTGGCTTCTTAACATTGTAGCACTAATAGCTAGATAATTTTATTTTCTTAATGTTTTTGAAAATTTGTACAATTTTTAGTATAGTGACACGCTAACCTGCATTGTGTTCCAATAGTTGTTCCGAATGAAAAAGTTTATCGAATTAATACAAGAATGTAGATTTTTTTTCCCAATCTTTGTTTAACTTCCAAACCTCATCTAAAAGTTCATCTTGTAATAATGTGTATAACGTACCTCCAAATACAGTCCNCAATCTTTGTTTAACTTCCAAACCGCATCTAAAAGTTCATCTTGTAATAATGTGTATAACGTACCTCCAAATACAGTCCTGTTGACATTTCAATTTTTCGAGGAGTATCTAAATAAGTTAAGAACAGTGTCATATATCTTTTGAATGTTTCATCTAAACACTAATATGGACTTAAGAATACATGATACTATTTTTGCATACTATGTAATGATTTGAAAGATGTATGTTTGGCAGAGGTCCTTGGTTTAGTGATTAAAATTTGGCTCTTTAACCTCAAGGTTGTGTGTTNGCAAGATTTATGTTTGGCAGAGATCCTTGGTTTAGTGATTAAAATTTGGCTCTTTAACCTCAAGGTTGTGTGTTCAAACTTGAATGCAATTGTTAGGAGTAGAAATCGCGCGTTCGGATCTCATCCCTGAACACCAAGGATTCTGGCTGACTTGCACCCTTTCCTAAGGCAATACAGTAGCCTTTACCTCTCGGTGCCCGTGTGGAGCTTCGTCCCACATCGACTGAGAGTCGTCTCCCCCACCCCCTTATAAGCCTGAGCCCCTTAGGGATGGGTACCCACTAGTGGTAAAGGCTAGTGGGTACCCATCCCTAAGGGGCTCAGGCTTATAAGGGGGTGGAGGAGACGACTCTCAGNGTGGTAAAGGCTAGTGGGTACCCATCCCTAAGGGGCTCAGGCTTATAAGGGGGTGGAGGAGACGACTCTCAGTCGATGTGGGACGAAGCTCTACACGGGCACCGAGAGGTAAAGGCTACTGTATTGCCTTAGGAAATGGTGCAGGCCAGCCAGAATCCTTGGTGTTCAGGGATGAGATCCGAACGTGCGTTTTCTATCCCTAACAGCAATCATTTTGTACATCAATGTCAAATGTTGAACTCCATGTTATCAAAATTCTCTTTCCAATTGTACTCAATTTCCGTACACCTTTTTAAAAATTGTAAAAAAAAATTTATTGGTTCAAAAGGTTTCACATTCATGATGCTGGTCAATTTATCAGTTATTTGCAAATCATACACCTTGTCCTTTATATTCACTTAATCTTTCCATCATCTTTGGATGTCTTGTAAATAATGAATATTACAAAAATCATGACTAAAAACTTCATCGAATAAAGAAATCTAGAAACTCACATCACAAAGAATAAGAAAATTATAACTATGAATTATCCATGTGCAACGGACATGTGCATGAACTAGTATAAACAAGTGTTATAATATTAGTAAATCAAGAAAAAAAATAAGAGAAATAAATACTAAAATTAAAGCTTAAAATAGTTCACGTGCAACAACTAGTAGGTTCAAAAGTCATAGAATAAACTAAGCAGAACAAATTCAATCATTTAAAGAACTATATAAAAGCAAAACAGAAGACCATTCATAGTTTGGTAAAGGTAGCTGCTAACTGGGTATGAATATACCAAGCACTAACCCCTGAATAATCCTACAACTTACCTAATATATCATTATTAGGTCATAAGTTATGCAATATACGTTTAACCCATAATTAAGTTCCAGCTATTTGACCGATCATATATTCTTTTGGAATAGCAATAGAAGAGTTGATAAAGCAATACCTTTGATTTATAGGCTATTTGGGAAAACTAAGTCGGAATT